GGGTGGTGGGGTGGTAGGTGGTGGCTGTTGTGGATGGGGTTGGGGCTGGGGCACCCTCCTCCTTTGCAAACCAGCCACACATCAAAGGTCAGCTGCACATTTAGATATCAGGCTTTCTAACAGTTATTTTGTACTCAGAGAGCGGGAGCGTTCACAAAACAGCGGTGTTTGTAAATTCGTGACATAGGCGCTATCCGGCGCTAACACAAGACGACGGCACGTATGGCAGGCATTATGTATCCATAATGGCTTGCGCAAGAGAAAAAAGCAGTAATTTTCCAATGAGATGCTCTTCAACTCCGATTACAGGTCTTGAAGCTGAGAAAATGGACATGCAAACGCCCAGGCCCTAACACAGCATTTGGTTTCTATCAAGCAAAAGGAGTGTACCATGGCTTTTGCAGCGGTATGCAAAGCAGCACTTCTTTGGGGTCCATCCCCCAACCTGCCCACCACTTCAGGAAGCAAAGACTCATGCCTATCACCTCCAAGCAAAACCATAGCAAGCAGTTACATGTGCTCATCATCGCCCATGTTTTGCAAAGTGAAGGGGCTGCTCTGCCTCCTTCCCACCGCTCTGCTGTTTGCAGAATCAACTGCAATGCGAAGCAATTTGTCGCTTGTGGGTTTGCTGTCGTGAGAAGATTGTTTTTTTGCATTCGACGCAGGCCAAGGAGCCGCCAAGTTCGAGCACGACATCCTGAACAAGCCGCAGGGCAGGGGCACTTTGGGGCGCGATTCAGTTTAGAGTGCAGGGCCTTTAGGGCCCTTGCGAGAAGGGTTTGCAGGCTCTGGATGTTCGTCGAAGTTTCACAGAACCCAGCAGAAATGTTGACAGCTCATAAGAAATTTAGTGAGGGTTCCTCATTTATACATGGACGACAGATTTTTGACTACGGATTCTCTCCCCATGGATCCTGATACGCACGAACAACGATACTGTAGCAATAAAGCTGTGCTCTGGCAGAAACAAGCACATCTTGGACACCAAGAGCAAAACTTTGCTCACGAACTCAACGATGAATCCTGATAATACAGAAACCTGGCCAAGAATAGAGTAGGAGGCCCAACTGATGTGCGGATTGTTTCGAATGTAGGTGAGCAACGAGAGCATCCGTTTCGCAGGGCGTGCTTGTCCTAAACAGCATGATCCGCGAATGATTCTGGGCGGGTCTCGCCAAAGAGCATCCGCATAACAACGTTATGCGGCCGAAGTGCGCGCGGGAAGGAAGCATGGCATGGAAGGAGCAGTGAAGGGCAGAGGAAGCACGGTCTGGGACAACCCCCAAACGGAATCAACAGACTTCTGGAGCTTGCGTTTTCAGACAAATTCCTTCCACATTCTCCCGCCATGCGCATACTGGATACCCATATGTCTTGACAGGTGCAGCATTTGTCTAGGATACCAAGTTCGTTGGTGTAGCAAAGCAGCCGGTGTGCCTCAGGAAAGATCCTAGGAAACTGGGCAGGGCGGGGTGTTGGATTCAAGATCGGAGACTGTAGTACGCGGCATCCTCGGCGTCTAATTTTCCTTAGGCTGATCTTTCCGAGAGATCCTGACGAACGTGCATTTTCTGCCAGAGCTATGCAGTAATTAACGGCCTTCTCGTCAGTCTGTTTGTTCGTTCATCCAAGGCATACCGGAAGCACTGCATCTATTGCAGTTCCTGAGCGAGCCATTGCAAGCTGCCTGCTTGCCTGTGTTGAATGCGCTGCGCAACTCATCGCAGGGCTCCTCCGAAGGATGATGTTATGCCTGGGAGTGAGGGCAGGGAGGCATGGGTCTTTGTAGAAGCCCCTTGTCCCCGATAATGGCCTGGTTCGTCTTTCCTACTCAGCATCACAGAGTAATGTTGACACCTGAGCGGGTTTTTTTTAATATAATTTGAAGCACCAGTAAACTCGGACTGTCGTTCAAGTACGTAAGTGGACTCTAGGTTAGTGATGCCATCCGTGCTGACAATTCCCACGACCTTCTGTTCATTTGTGGCAGCGACTGAAGCTCGCTCACGCCACACCACATGCGCAGGATAAAGGCCGAGAGCTTTGCAAAATCAGAGGCTGAGTGGGGTCCTGCCCAGAGGCCTCTGCCCTTCCCCTTTCAAAGTTTGTCGGTGCCTTGTATAATGGAGAGGCTTTTGATGCAGAACATGAGGTGCCCCCAAGAAGGAACGTGGAATAAACCTCTGGGCTGCGTCAACTAAGCTAGCAGGAAATGGAAGCACAGAGAGCAGAAGACACATTCACAGCAAGATATGCAGGTTTCCCATAATTGGGGGTACCTATATTAAGGACTGTAGTATTTTGGGGTCTATATTGGGGTTCCCCCATTTAGGGAAACTGCTATGTGCCTCAAGGATGAGATCCACCCCTTGGAGAGCAGCCCCCAATAACCCCCCAACAGTGGAGAATGAGATGGAAAAGAAAATGGAACATGAAATGGAAACTGGGGGTATATAGGGGACAATGGAGGAATGCAAAAGAAAATGGAAACTATAATGGGTTATAACCCCAATATAACCCCAATATAACCCCCATATAACCTCAATATAACCCCAATATAACCCCCAATATAACCCCTATGGGTTATAGGGATCACACATGTTGCCCTTGACAAAGGCTGGTTGTGTGTCTCAGGCTCAGGGCCGACTACGCTCCTACATGTTCCTACATGTACTATAGTCTAAACTCCTTCAAGGGGGGTTATATAGGGGATTATACAGGGTTTAGGGCTTAGGGTCTAAACTCCTTAAAGGGGGGTTATATAGGGGATTATATAGGGGATTACTATAGGGGTTATTAAGCGGGATACTAGGAGTTTAGACTATGGCTCACATGTTCCAGCAAGGTGTTCAGCACTTCAATCCTTAGCAGCACGCATGTTCTGTGCAAACTTCAGTATTCTGAGGCTTGAACTGCGCATGGATAGCTTCAACTTCAACTTTAAGAAAATTGCGCGCCCATGACACGGCCATGCTGTCCAACATGTCCAGCATGTTCGGCCTGCTGCTTTGCAGCCTTGTGCCCGGGAGCCTGAGTGTGACATGTGCGGGTGAGGTGGAGGTGGGAGTCAATCCAGATCACACAGGGGCCCCAAGGAATCACTTTTTAGTCCTGTTTGTCCGTAGGGTCCCCCAGGGCCCTCTATTTGAGACACCCCCATGCTCTAGGGCAGCGCTCGAGTTGTAACAAGGTAATGTCCTAGGTCTCTTCTAGCCTCAAGAATCGGTGACACGAGCGGTTCGTGGTATGTCTGCCTAGCTTTCAAAATCCTACCCCTGACATGTTGATGACACTTGTGTTTCATGAGTGTTTCATGGTACGCCCGTCTAGCTTTGAAAGCCGTAACCCTAGCGTGTTGATGACACGTGTGTTGCGTGGTACATCTACCTGGCTTTCCAAAGCCGAATCCCTAACGGCGTGATGACGTTTGGTTTCAACCGTAACCCCTAGCGTGTTGATGACACTTGTGTTTGGTGGTAGCTCCGCTTGGCCTTCCAAAGCCTAATCCCTAAGATGCTGATGACACTCGGGCTTAGCTTTATGTCTACTTGGCTTTCCAACCCTAACCCCTCACATATTGATGACGCTCGTGTTTCGTGGTACGTCTGCTCAGCTGTCCAAACCCTAGCCCTAACGCATTGATGACGCTTGTAATTCGTGGTACGTTTACCTAGCTTTCCAAACCCTGCCCCCTAAAGTATTGATGAAAGTGTTTTGGGTAGCTCTACCTAGCTTTCAAAGCCCTAAGCCGTAACGTATTGATGACGAGTGCGTTTTGTGGTACCTACGTCCAGCTTTTCAAATCCTAATCCCTAATGCATGGAGGATACGTGTGTTTCGCACGTCTACCTTGATTTCCGCGTATTGATGACATTGGTATTTCGTTGTACGTCTACCCCCTAACCCCTAACCATGCCTAACCCCTAGACCTGCACTGCGTTGCGCTTGCCGAGACCATGCATGTCCGTCAAAACCCCATATGCCCTTTTGTATCTATCCCCTTGTACAAATGCATGTGTAGATATATATATATATGTATATCTGTGTGTGTAGGCGTGTACGTATTCCAGTGTATCCCTACCCATCTCTTTATATATATAATATCCTTAGCCCTAAACCTCAAACTCGAAACCCTAGTCTCAGACCCCAACATCTTAAACCCTCCAAACCCTAAATCCCTGAACCGCTAGTCCGAACCCTAAACCCTAAAATCCTAAACCCTGAATTCCCGAACCCCTAATCCCTAAATCCCTAAATGTCTTTTTGTCCACAGGTCAATTTCCTCCAGGCAGGTCTTAGCCTGACCTTGCCACCTCTTCAGCCCTGGGGCAGAAGTTTCTATTCCACGGATCCAGCAACTTGCTGATGCTTAGTAGGGTTGGTTTACGTAGGGTTTAGGGTTTAGGGTTTAAGGTTTAGGGTTTAGGGTTTTCAGGGCTTAAGAGTTTAGGGAGTATTAGGTTCATGGGTTCAGAGTTTAGCGGTTTAGGGGTTCAGGGTTTATGTAGGCCCGGCCCACCAACGGACAATGGTAACTATGCTGAGGTTTTAGCTATACTTCTTACGGTTTAGGATCTGGCGTTTAGTGGTGGTTAGTAGGGAGGTCAAGGAATGGGAAATACAATGGAAAGCAACAAGTTACTTAGGGTTTCGGGATCAGGTGAAGGATTTTTTGGCAACGTACCTGGGTTGTTTTCGAATAACACTTATTGACCTGCTTATGTATACTTGAGCTCAGTATGGATGAGCAACAATCATTGGCAACTGTACCCCAACATTATTCGAGTCATTGGAGGTTAGTAGATCATGAAGGAATGGTGCAGAGGAATTGTTAGTAAGGACTCCTACGGCGATCCATTCCCCATTCCCTACTAGCCACCCATGAGGCAAGTTCCGCTGCCTGGTGGTTGCGATATAGCACTGCAAAGCCGTTACTCTCTGAAGCGTCCGGGGTAGTCGGCTTTCGCGAGAGCGCAGAGTCGGCAGCTGTGCAAGTCATGCGTTGGGGCATTCCGATGGAGCGGCTCTACTTTGTGCGTGCGCCTGACTGGAGAAGCCCCAAGAATGTCAGCATGCCAGATTTCGTCAGGGCTGCAGAGCTGTCATGGGCTTCGGTGATGACTAGGGAGCAGGGCTACACTCCATGGGTAGACTTCCATGATGGCCATGAGCAGGTCACCATGAATATTGACAATTTCAAAGAGGACGCACACCCGTTGCAGTATTACAACCAAGTGTCCAGAGCGTATATCCCTAACACGACTTGGACCATGGAATGGCTGGGATCGGAGTTTAAACGGGACACATCTGACTATATGAAATCTGCAACCTACGACGATCCAGATACCTGCCGTAACAACGCTGGCTTCGAAAAGCCAAACCGAACATATTGGAAAAGTACCTTTGCTGTTGCAGATGCACGGGCTGCTCGCGACTATGCCATTCGAGTCTTGGGCGCTCAGCATGTAACTGGATCACTGTAGAAGATTCTTCTGTGTTTCAGGTTATACAGCTCCAGTTGAATTTTAATCGTGCGGGTTAGTATTCTCTTCCCTGGTGTGGTACAGGTAGGTGAGCCGTACCCTTGGCCGCCCCTTGACAACTGCATCGCTGCGCAATGGGTGGTCTTACCACAGTCGTCATTTCAGCTGCACTTCGTAGAAAACCCCGTCTATGAATCCATGCTGCTCAACATCTCGGAGTTTCTCATGTACCAGCAGGACTTTGCACAAAGGCACACAGAATGCATCAACAGCTTCATGCTGAACAACCTGGTACTTCAGACAACATCCTTGGATCCCTTCATCCGGCGTCTAGAGGATGAAGCCACCCCGTGCCTAGTTCCCTGCTAGAAACCTGTTCACATGCTTTTAAGCATCGAAACCGACCAGTGCCCAGCTTGATTTTCAGGAATCGCTTCTTTCCATCTATCTGAGCCTATCCTCCCTCAATATTGTTCAGGTATTTTGTCTTCGACCTGGGCAATCTCTATGCCCTGATGTTCTCTTTTCCCGGCAACGAAGGTGTGACCCTCCAACTACAAAGCACGCACGTCAGTTGGGCCGTACCAGTGCCCCTCAAGTTGTGCAGTTGATTTGTTGACTCTGATTGCTTGGTCAACGTTTAAAAGGGGGAGCTCTGCGACAGGGTTCAGGCTTGTACCGCCACTTACAACTACCGTGGGGAAATCTGTGGTCCACAGTCCTGAAGCTTGTGCCAAGAAATTCCAGGATCACACCGCCTCCGAAACCAACATGTCTTGAAGGGAAGACGGGATTCCTCATCAAGGACGGGATTTTGACACAGGGATATGTGAGGCAGCTGTTCCGGCCCGCCTTGCACCACAGCCATAAGCTGGAAACCTACACAAAAACAATAAGAGTTGCCAGCTGCCTGCTGGTTCGTCATTGCTGCTTTGCTGGTGCCGGTGGTGCCGGTGGTGCCGCCGGCGGCGGCGGCGGGGGTGGT